TGTAGAAATATTGTAGTCTTACTGCAAAGTGAGGCCTCAACTTAGGGGATATTTTCTTTTCTTTTTTTTTTTTAAGATTTATTTATTTGTGCATACAGAACTGGGGTATAGGCCAAAGGTGCAGGTGCAGTGAAAGGATTCACCAGAGAATGGGGAGCAGAACAGGCAGACTGAGGAAGTACACTGCTGAGGGGAGCAGTGGGCAGGTCAGGGGAGGTCTGCTGCACCATAAGGGTCACCTCTGGGGCCAGGATCAAACTTGCACTGAAGTTGGCTGTGGCTAGCTTCACAGTGCTGTGCTTTAACCCATTGTGCCACCAGGGAGGGCCCCAAGGGCACATTTTCTTTGGGGAGTTGGATTGAACAAACAGCTCTTGGAAGGAAGCCTGCTACTGTGAAAGCGCTAGGCAAGGTCCTGAAGTTTATGTGAAGATGGAAAATTCTGGCCTGGAAAAAGTTGTTTATAAAGTATTGAGTGTCAGTTTCTGTGCCAGTCTCAGTATATGCATTTACACATTGAACCCTCAAAATGCTTTCATGGAGTAAAACGTTATTGTTAAGGAGATTGACGCCTAGAAACATGAAGTTATGTTGCCAAAGAAACATGAAGTTATGTTGCCAATGTCACAAAGTTACTATAAATCCATTTGTTTGGGTATTTATTCATCAGGTTAAAAAAAAATTGGAGCTACTATTATGTGCCAGGCATGAGGATACAAAGATGAATTAGCTGGGCTTCTGGTGGTGCAAGCGGTTAAGTTTTAGCCCTGTGAAGCTGTCTATAGCCACTGTAGTATGAATTCCATCCCCAGCCAGAGAGGTGACCCACATGGCATGGCAGACCTCTCCTGACCTGCATTCTGCTTCCCTCAGCAGTGTGTTTCAGTCAGTCCACCTGTTCTGTTCTCTACCTTGTCTCTGGTAAATCCTGTCACACACACACACCACACACACACATACACACCTCTGTCCTATACCCCAGTTCTTATATGCATAAAAATAATTAAATCTCTAAAAAAAAAAAAAAGATGAATTATCTGTGGCCCTGTCCACACACAAACAACCACCTATTTTATTTTATTTTATTTATACAGAACTGGGGTACGGGCCGGAGATGTGGAGAGTGAGAGGATTCACCAGAGACAGAGTGGGGTACAGAACAGGCAGATCGACGAAGTACA